CCTATCCTCACCCCCTCACCCCCAAGGCTTCCTCCGAAACCCTCCTGACCACGCCCCAAAGGACAGCAGGACACTGGCGCCCCTCCTCATCCCCCACCCCGTCTCTCCACGGAGACCTCAGATCACATCTCTCCAAAGCCTGTCTTACCTCCTCTGAGGCCCCTGAGCATTTTGAAGAACCACCTGGAAACCAGAGACTGTGTCCGGCTCTTCTTTGGTGACCTCAGATTGTGCCCCACGCCTCTGTCAGGGACCCCAGACGTTGCTCTGCTTATTCCAGAGGGACCCCAGATCAATCACGGCGTTCCAGGGGATCCAGACCCCACCCCTTCTGGATCTTAAATCATCCCCAACACTCAGGTGCCCCCCCCAGACCACACCCCAGAATCCGTGGAGGACTCAGACTGTATGGGAATGCTCAGTAGACCCCAGACCATAGCTGGATCCTGGGCCACCCTGAGGACCCAGTTCCACAGTTATCCCTAGCCTAAAACTGAGCTCCATGTCCTTCCTCTGTCAAAGTCCTTCCACCACTCCCTGCCCACCAATAGACACTCTAGATCATGACTAACTTCTAGGACACCCCAAAATGTCTAATCTTCCCATGGGAGACCCTTAAACTCTTATTTCTCCCACAAGATCTCTGGTCATTCTCCAACACCCTTGGAGACCTTAGACTTTTCTCCCACTCTGTCCCCTTCGGGCCATCCCTTGGTTTCCAGATGCACCACCCCCCATTTGCCCTAGATTCTTTTCCACCCCCCACAGCAGTCAGTCCTGTAGTCTTCAAGCCCCCTGCAGTCCCTCCTTCACTGTGACTCCCATGAATCCCAGAATGCCTTGCTACTTCCTTGTTTGAACCCTCCCTGTTAAACTCTGGCCCCAGAGCTGATCTCCCAGCCCCTGCTTTGGAGCCCTTGGGATGTCCCGGCTATGCTTCATCTCTTTCTGAGATACTCACCAAGATCCAAACACACACACACACCTCCACCCCACACCCACCCACCCCCACCCCACCCACGCCAACCCCGCCCCAGCTCAACAAACCTTCCTTCAAAATCTGCCTTATTGCAGTCCCCAGGTCCTTGAATTCTCAAACGCTTCCCATTAGGGATTCCCCTATATGGAGGATCCTCCCACACACTGCTTCCACAAATACTTCCTAGCCATGCCCCCCAAACCATCTCACCACCCCAGATTTCCTCCCTTGTAGTAAACTTTAACCCAACTCACAACCAAGAGATACCCCAGGGGATGTTCCCAATCTCTCCAGTCTCCAGGCTCTACCTGTCCTATCACCTCCAGACACCATCCTCACCCCCTACCTGCTTAGCATGGGGGTAAGGGGTTAAGAGAACAGAGGTAGGAGGGGCTTCGGTGATGACTGTGTGAAATGCTTGCTGTGCAAGCATGAGGACCTGAGTTCCAGCCACAGGACCTACATACCAGGCACCGCTGCACAGATGTAACAATACTATCTATGTATGGATGGTTCTAGGAGCTTCAGATTATGAGTAATGTGCTTCCATTACTAACCCCATTTTACAGATGAGGCACAGAGAAAGGAAGCACAGAGAGCTTTAGTCACTTGCCCATTGTCACACAGACAGTAAGGGGCAGCATAGGATAGAAGGGTAAAGATAGGTGAGGTCAGGCCTGGCCTGGGTGTGGAAAGGGGGAAAGTAAGATAAAAGGCAAAGAGACACATACAATGAAGAAGGAAAGAGTGCCAACCCAGGCAAGAGGGAGTGCAAGTTGACAATGCAATAGCTTCCTGTGGCCCCTAATTTCTGTGGCAGGCCTTCTAATATAGACCTTTGACCAAACCGCTTTGTCACTTAGGCTCCGCCCCCAATTTTAGGCCCCACCCCAAAGCAAAAATTCCAGCTTTATCTGACCCAAGTGATGTCAGTCAGGCGAGATCCATGATTCTAAGGGAGTATGCCAGGGCATATAATATTCCTCCTAGGCCCCGCCCACGAATCCAAGCCTCACTTCTCAGTCTAAGGCCCATCCTTCACTTTTGACTGTCACCACCCTCAAAGGAACCTAATTTTCAGTCTAGGCATAGTCTTGTACCCTCAATTCCCCCTTAAACGGCAGCCTCAGAATCTCAAACATAAACCCTGCCCATGTTCAAGAAGAGGAAGAAGTCCCACAGGGAATGTCTAGAGTGCAGATTCAAAAATTAAGAGAAATAGGCTGGCCAGAGGGTTGGCTGGGTGAAGGCACTTCCCACCAAACCTGAGGAGCTGAGTTCAATCCCCAGGACCCACATGGTGGAAGGAAAGAATCAGCTCCTGAAAGATGTCCTCTGATGTCCTCTGACCGCCACACATTGGCGGGCACGCATGCTCACACAAATTAAGTAATGCAATTTTTAAAATATTTTATTTATTATTTTAATTTTACATGTACGAGTGTATTGCCTGCATGTGTGTGAGTGCACCTGTGTCGTGCAATGCCGCAGAGGTCAGAAGAGGGCTTTGGAGTCCCTGGAACTGGAGTTAAGGATGGTTCGCAGCCACCTTATGGGTGCTGGGAATTGAACCCAGGTCCTCTGCAAGAGCAGTCAGTACTCAACCGCTGAGCCATCTCTCCGGCTCCAATAATGCAATTTTTAAAAAAGAGCTCTCTCTTTAGAGGTTAAACAACAGAATGGTGGTGCTGGAAGAGGTAGTCCAAACCCAAGGCAATGTCTCCATTAGGCCAACTCTTCATTGGATAATCTGATCTATTCTGGACCATCTGATTGGTCCTTCTACAAGCCCCCTTGAGTCACCCTCTTTCATTGGACTTTGCTTTACAAACTGTTTGTTCTTGATTGGGCAAATCCCTGTACACGGCTCTTCCTTGGATTGTAAATAGTCCAATCATAACCTAAAAGCAAATTCAGCTCTAAGGGTAGAAAGGTTGGGGAGGAGGGGGTGAGGAAGGATAATAATGGTTGCTGAAATCGCTGACTGAAGAGAGGGTGTGGATGTTGATCACAGAATAACCTATGGCCTCAAGCAATTATTTTTGGCTTTGTGCCTCAGTTTCTTAATCTTTAAATTGAGGTTAATAATGGCAACTTTTTCATGGAGTATTGCAGCAATTTAACCTGTATAGTTTTTTTTCCTTTTTTTAAATATTTTTATATTTATTTTATGTGTATGCATGTATTGCCTGCATGTAGGTAAGTGCACCAGTGTTGTGCAATGCCCGTGGAGGACAGAAGAGGCCATCAGATCCCCTGGAAGTGGAGTTATGGACAGTTGTTAGCTGCCATGTGGGTGCTGGGATTCGAACCCGGGTCTTCTGCAAGAACAGCCAGTGTTCTTAATCACTGAGCCATCTCTCCAGCCCCTCCTTTTTTGTTTTTAATTGAGACAGGGTCTCACTATGTAACCCATGCCTCGAACTCTCAGAGCTCTGTCTGCTTCTGCCTGCTGAGTGCTGGGATTAGAGGCATGTGCCACCACACCAGGCCTGTATGGTGTTTGCAGAAGTACCTGGAACATAGGAAGCACTGCATGGGAGAATTTGCTATTAGCATACATTTGAGGATGTAAGTGCATGACCTTGGAAAAGTCCCTGTGTCTCTCTGATCTCTGCAGCCTAGAGTTCCTTGATCTGTTCACTGAATACTCCTGCTATCCCCAGATCTGGCCTTTCCCATCTTAGGTCATCAAGGTGGGGGCTGTGATCAGAAGGCTAGAGAAGGAGTGATGGAGGTGGTAGCAGAAAGGAGATGAGTTTGATCCAAACACCCCAGAACACTCAAGGCTTGGGGGAGGGAGTTGAATTCTCTATGACCCAGTTTCAAGAGCTTCTACCCTGAACCCCTCAGCAAAGGGTTTGTCTTGACTGGGGATAGGGGAACAGGGGTGAGGATAAGGAATCTGATAGCTGGGAGGGAGAGGGAGAGTCCAAGCTGAGCTCACTGTTAGTCCTGCCCCCAAGGAATGCCAGGGTTGGGGGAGGGGCAGCTCAGGCCCAAGGTCACTGTGTCATTGTTACCATGGCAACGGCCACCTCTCTATGGGGAACTTGGAAAAGGGGTGAGGGGAGGGAGTTCCTAGGGCCCTGGGTGTGAGGATTGAGAAACTGTAGGAGACAGTGGGGAGAGCAGAGAAAGTGTGATTCATATCTGTGAAGACTGCCCATCTCAGAGCCTGGTATACCATGGGTGCTCAATAAATGTCCTTCGAAAATAGAGACAGAAGTCTAAGAGAATTCAATGCCCAGAGACAGCAGAGGAAAAGGATGAGATAGGGATGGAAGTGGGGGAAGCGCCCCTTCCCTGACTCTTCAGTACCTCTGGGGTTCACTGAGAGACCTGGCCCTTTTCACCTCCCACCATCCTGGGCCCTCAGGGTTATCCAACCCCTAAACCATCAAGTCCCTCAGCAATCTCCTGAGCTCCTGAAGCAATTATGTTTTGATCTTTTGACATCTTTTGGGCCTTTAAATTCTTCCTACCTTAGGGCTCAGCTGAGAAAAGAAGCAGTTAGTGTTAGAAGCCACCTTCCAGCCCCAGAGCCTCGGGTGAGGTGAAGGGGCAGGGGGTGCCACACTCTGTCTCCTTCCAAGGATCTTTTGCTCTTAGGAGTGACTCCTTCACAGGGTCAAATACTCCCCCCAGATTCCTCAAGGGGACCTAGGCCACCCATTTCCCATTCCAGCACAGAATACCCCATAGTCCTCTCTTTATTTCGGATAAACAGGTGTCCTCCTTGCCTCTGGGGACCCGCTTGGGTCCACTAGGTCCGCCCGCCCCCTGCCGGCTAAGAGCTGGAACTGCAGGAACTGTCGACTAGCGCCCAGAAGTGAGACCCCAAGTCCAGTAAGGATCGCAAAGTTCTTGAACTTAAAAAAAAAAAATTTTTTTTATTTAGTTCTTGGATGTTCTGATGCTAGGGGTCAGAGTCTTCAGTCCCCTGGGGGCCTCAGACATCAGGAATTAAAGACCCTATCGCAGAGGTCAACGAAAGAATGATAACTTGTCTTGGAGCCAGGCTTCAGTGAGGTCGTCGGTGGTCCGGATTTCAAACACCTGCGAAAATAGGTCTCAGCATTACGCTCCAGACCCTTCGGACCCAGGAGACAGGCCAGCCCTCCTCCCTATGACCCAGCCCTCCTCCCTCTGACCCAGGGGTCCAGGGCCAGACCTCCTCCCTCTGACCCAGGGTCCAGGCCCCAGACCTCCTCCCTCAGACACAGGAGTCCAACTCCAGTTCTCCTCCCTCAGATCCTAGGGTTACAGCCTAACCCTCCTCCCTCACATCCTGGGGTCTGGCCCAGCCCTCCAGAGTCAGTGCCCCTTAGACCTTTGTGAGCTCTGCTGTCTGCACCAGCCTGTTTTTACTCCCTGCATACATCATCTGTTGCTCTGGCTTACAGCCTGTGTAGAAAACAAGAGGAGCAGCAGTCACTGGGGCCCAGATGTGTGGGACAGAGCTCTAGTAATGTCCTGCAGGCCCAGCAGTTTAGGGAGGGTTAGAGGAGCTTTGTAGGAGGACCTTGAAGGCTATACTCAGAGTTTCTAGACTTCTTTGGGCTTCAAGTTACTGTGAGAGTCTCTGGAAAAGATTCAGGGGCTGACAAATTTCCAGGTAAAAGGACAAAGGATGTGTGGGCTCTTCAACGAATCCTGAGTGCCCACCTCCACCTCCATTGCTCCCCTATACCACAACGAACCCTGTACATACCCCATACGCTCATCTGGTCACACAGAGGCACACATATTCACACTTTTTTTAATTTGGGGGTTTTCTGTTTGTTTGTTTTCTGAGACAGGGCCTCCCTGTAGCCCCAGCTGGCCTGGAACTTGCTATGTAGACCAGGCTGGCCTTAGTCTCACAGAGACTGGCCTACCTTCGCCTCCCTACTGCTGGGATTCAAGGTGTAGGCTACTACACCCCACACATATTCACACTTTTGTTGTTATTGTTGAGACAGGGCCCCACTTTGTAGCCTAGGCTAGCCTGGAACTCACAATCCTCCTGCCTTAGTCTTCCAAATGCTGAGGTTGCAGGAAGAATTCTAGTATGCCTAACTAGGAGTATATTCTTGTATTTATTTTTGTATTTTGTTTCCTGGTTATGAACTAGAACTCAGGGCCTGTAGCATGCCAGTGCTCTACCAGTCCTCACCTTCCTACCTTTTTTTAAAATTCGTTTTTTTAATTCTTTTTTTTTTTTTTTTTTTGATGGGGGGAGCATTGAGAAAGGGACTCCCTTAGCCCCAGTTGGCCTGGAAGTTGCTATGTAGATCAGGCTGGCCTCCATGTCACAGAGAGTCCTTGCCTCCTGTCTTCTGAGTGCTGCCATTAAAGGTGCGTGCCAACACACTGGGATCCTTTGAAACCTTAAATCCATAATGTATGGAATCTGACTCCCTGTCTCAAAAAAAAAAAAAAAACTATCTATTTTTACTTTAGGTGTATGAGTGTATTGCCTGCATGTGTTTAAGTGCACCCTTGTCATGCATGAGGAGGTCAGAAGAGGGCATTGGATCCCCTGGAACCAGTTATGGATGATTGTTGTTAGCTACCATGTGGGTGCTAGGAGGCTAACACAGGTCTTCTGCAAAAGCAGCCACTGAGCCAGCTCTCCAGCCCTCATATTCCTTCTTTTAACACAGGTGCCTTCATAGGCACCTGCATACTCTCATACACACTAATACATCCCCACAGCCACATACATATGCACACACATACACCCCTGAACTCACACATGCTCAGAACCCCCTCACAGTCAAACACATATGCACACAGACCCCTGAACTCACACATATTTATACCCTGATCCCCAGAACCTAAGACCCAGTCCTCAGGCTGGGAAGAGCCATGTCTCACCCACAGGGCTGGAGAAGATGAAGCACAAAGGATAGGACACCCTGCCGTCTGCGTGCACATATTTGTAGCTGTAGACCACAAATCTGCAAAAAGGAATTCACACTCAGCATGGAATTCACACTCAGGACAGAATCACACTCAGGAATTGAGTAGCCCAGCTGCTACTCCCTGACTCCACAACCTTGAATCTTTTATTTATTTATTTTTTGGGTTTTTTTTTTTTTTTTTTTTTTTTTTTTTTTTTTTTTTTTTTTTTTTGAGACAGGGACTCCTTGTAGTCCCAGCTGTCCTGGAACTCACTATGTAGACCAAGCTGGCCTCAAACTCACAAAGATCTGCCTGCCTCTGC